GTAGGCCTGCTGACTTCAATCCTGACTGTGGATATGATGCAGCCCTGTGGTCCAGCTCCAGATCCACTCAATGGTGGTCTGGAGGCAAGCCTGACTGCCCAGGGACTGTAAGAGCACCCTATACCCTTCAGCACCTCTGGTAACAAGACTGCTGACCTTGCTCCTGACTGTAGTCATGAAGCAGCTCTGTGACTCAGCTCCATCTCTGCTCTGCCACAGTCCCAGGGGCACCCTACCAGGTGGGAGCCCACTCAGGGACTCAGCAGGAGTCATACCTGTCTACCCTGATAACAGGCCGACCATCTGTGGACTCAACTGCAGACCAAGAAGCATCTCTGCAACTTGGCTCCAGCCTTACTTTTTCACGGTCCCAGAGTCAGTCCCATGCACCTGGGGATTCAGTAGTAACCATGCCTGCCCACCTGCACCCTCCAGTAACAAGTGGATCCAACTAAAAACTTTATAGCATCCATGTGACCTGACTCCAATCTCATTCAATTACAATCCTGGAGGCAGTCTCATCAGTCTGAGGACATGGCAGGGGGGTTTTACCCACTGAAATCAGTGGGTAAATGTAAAGACAGGAAGAAGTGTTTGCTCCTTCAAATGAACAGACATCAACACAAAGCTATATGGATCATGAAGAAGCAGGCAAACGTGGCACCACCAAAAGTAACTAATAGAGTTCTAGTAACTGACCCAAAAGAAATGGAGATATATAAACTGTATGACAAATAATTCAAATAATCATTTTTTAAGGAAACTCAGTGAGCTGCAAGAGAACAAGAACAGATAAAACTACACAAATCAGAAAAACAATTCATAAACAAAATTAGAATTTCAACAAAAGGTTAGAAATCATACAACAAAAACTAAACAGAAATTCTGAAGTTGCAGGACGCAATGAATGAAATGGAAAAATATGCAACAGAGAGCTTCTGCAGCAGGCTTTATCAAACAAGAAAAAATTTGTAAACTTGAAGACAGGTCAATAAAATGTCTTTATCACCACTCAGATGATAAAAAGAAAAAAAATGAAAAAAGGAAGAAAGCCAACAAAATTTATGTGACATTATAAAGGGAAAAAATATACACATTATGGAAGTCCTAGAAGGAAAGAGAGAGAGAAATAGAAACCATATTTAAATAAATAATGCCTGAAAACTTCCAAAACCTTGTAAGGAATATGGACATCAGGTATTTTTTTTAATTGCATTTTAGGTTTTGGGGTACATGTGAAGAACATGCAAGATAGTCGCATAGGTACACATGTGGCAGTGTGATTTGCTGCCTTCCTCCCCTTCACCTATATCTGGCATTTCTCCCCATGATATCTCTCCCCAACTCCCCACCCCCCGCTGTCCCTCCCCTATTTCCCCCAACAGACCCCAGTGTGTAGTGCTCCCCTCCCTGTGTCCATGTGTTCTCACTGTTCAACACCCACCTATGAGTGAGGGACATCAGGTATTTCAAGCTCAAAAATTCCCAAAGAAGATCAACCCAAATAAAATTATACCAAAACACATTATAATTAAATTTGCAAAAGTCAAAGGCAAAGAGTAAATTTAGAAAGCAGCAAAAGAAAAGTACCTCGTCACATACAAACTGCTCTCCTCCCCATAAGCTATCAGCAAATTTTTCAGCATTAACTTTGCAGGATAGGAGAAAATGGGGTGTTATGTTCAAAGGGCTGAAAGAATAAAACTGTCAGCCAAGGATGCTAACACAAAACGTCTGTCCTTTAGAAATGGAGAGAGAAAGGTTTTCCCAGACAAACAACAGCTGGGGGTGTTCATCACTGCTAGAATTACCTCCCTTAAAAGAAATGCAAAGGCTGGGTGCGATGGCTCAGGCCAGTAATCCCAGCACTTTGGGAGGCCGAGGTGGGCAGGTCATCTGAGGTAGGGAATTTGAGGCCAGCCTGAATAACATGGAGAAACCCCGCCTCTACTGAAAATACAAAAATTAGCTGAACATGGTGGCACATGCCTGTAATCTCAGCTACTCTGGAGGCTGAGGCAGGAGAATCGCTTGAACCAGGGAGGTGAAGGTTGCAGTGAGCTGAGATTGCACCACTGCACTCCAGACTGGGCAACAAGAGCAAAACTCCATCTTAAAAAAAAAAAAAAAAGAAAGAAATGCTAAAAGGAATTCTTCAAGTTGAAACAAAAGCTAACTAGTAACATGTAAATATATGAAAACATAAAGCTTACTGTCAAATGTAAGCATATGGTAAAATTCAAAATAGTCTAATAGTGTAATGGTGGTATATATATTTCACTTTTAACTTTACTATATGACAAAAGTATTAACGATAACTATAGATATAATAATGTGTTAATGGATACACAGTAGAAAGAGATGTAAATTGTGACATTGATAAAAAAATGAGATGAAGGAGAAATATAGTTTTTATATGACATTTAAGTTAAATTGCTATCAACTTAAAATAGATTGTTACAACTATAAAATGTTTATTGTAAGCCTCCTGATAACCAAAAGAAAAAACATCTCTAGTAAATATACAAAAGATAAAAAGAAAGGAACCAATGAATACCACTCCAAAAAATTATCAAATTACAAAAAACAATAGAAAAACAGGAAGAAAGGAACAAAGGAATTAGGCATAGTCAGAAAAACAAACAAAATGACAAAATGAAATTCTTACCTATCAATAATTACTTTAATGTAAATGGATTAAATTCTCCAATCAAAAGACATACAGTAGTTGAATCGGATAAAAATTAAGATCCAACAACATGCTGTCTACAAGAGACTCACTTCAACTTTAAGGACATACCTTGGCTGAAAATGAAAAGATAGAAAAAGACATTCTATGCAAATGATAACAAAAAGAGAACAGGAATGGCTATAATTACATCCGACAAAATGGACTTTAAAAAACCGTTAAAAGAGACAAAGATGGTCATTATATAATGATAAAAGCGCCAATTCATCAGGAAGATATACCAATTACAAGTATATATTCACCCAACATTCAAGTGGATCTAAATATGTAAAGCAAACATTGACGGACCTAAAGGGAGAAATAAACATCAATACGATAATAGTTGGTGACTTCAATACTATACCCTTTATAATGGATAGATAGTCCAGACAGAAAATCAATAATAGCTGAACTAACAACACTAAAGACAAAACGAACCTAACAAATATATACAGACTACTCCATATTAATACCTATTTTCTTAAGTGCATACAGTACCGGATATATCACATGTTAGGTCAAAAATCTTAAATATTTAAGAAGAGCAAAAATCATTTTAAGTGTCTTTTCAAATCACAAAGGAATGAAACTAGAAATCAATAACATAAAAAAAATCACAAATACATGGAAACCAATCAGCATGCTCCTGAACAACTATTAGGTCAAAGAGGAAATCAAAGGATGTTTTAAACATATGAAAATGAAAACACAATATCTCAAAACTTATGGCAAAAAAGTACTAACAGGGAAGTTTATAACAAAAAATCCCTTCATTAAAAAGAAAGACATCAGATAAACAACCTAACTTTACATCTCAAAGAAGTAGAAAAAGAAGAACAAACCCAGTAAAGTAAGCAGAAGGAAGGAACTAATAAAGATCAGAGCAAAAATATAATAGATAAGAGAACTCCCCTAGCCCCCCCAAAAATCAACAAAACTAAGACTTGGCTTTTTGAAAAAGAGAACAGTATCAACAAACTCTTAGCTAGACTAAGAAAAGAAGAGAAAAAATGTAATTAAAACTAGAAATGAAAAAGGTATTACAATGGATGCCTCAGAAATAAACATAGTATAAGGAGCTATTATGAACAATTATACATCAACAAATTGAAGAATCTGGAAGGAAGGTGTCAATTCCTAAAAGCATACAACCTTCCAAAACTGAACCAAGAAGAAATAGAAAGCCTGAATAGACCAGTAACAATAATCAGACATCAACCTCACTCCCACTCCTAAAAAGAAAAGCCCAGGTCTGGATGACTTCATGGGTAAATTTTATTAACATGCAAAGAAAAAATAATTGCAACTATTCTTGAATTCTTATAAAAAAACAGAAGAGGGAACACTTTCAAACTCATTTTATGAGTCTAGACTCTCCCTAATACCAAAGCCAGATAAAAACACCACAAGAAAGGAAAACTACAGGCCAATATCCCTGATGAACACAGATGTGAAACTCCCCAGTAAAATGCTAGAAAACCCAATTCCACGGCACATTAAAAGAATGGTTCAACATACACAAATCAGTCAAAGCAATTACCCACATTAACAAAATAAAAGAAAACAACAACATGATCATCTCAATAGACAGAGAAAAAAACTGACAAGTTCAACATTCATTTAGGATTAAAACACTCAACAAAATAGGCATAGGAAAACTTATCTCAAAATACAAAGGTAATATATGAAAAGCCCACATTTAACTTTATAATCAAAGAGGGGAAAATGGAAAGATTTCCTGGTACGAGTTGACTGATTCAGCTTCTTTTTCTTATTAGTCTGTTCAGGCTTTCTATTTCTTCTTGAGTCAGTTTTGGTAGGTTGTATGTTTTTAGGAATATACCTTGTTCACTCTCACAGCTTCTATTTAATATAGTACTGTAAACCCAATCGGGAGCAATTAAGCAAGAAAAAGAAGCGAAAGGCATGCAAATCAGAAAGGGAGAAGTAAAATTATCTCTGCAGATGACATGATCATATATGTAGAAAACTCTAAGGCCTCAACAAAATAACTGTTGGAATTAATAAAATTAATTCAGTGAAGTTGCAGGATATAAAATTAACATATAAAAGTAGTACCATTTCTATACACAACTATTTTTTTTTTAATTTTTTATTGGATTTTAGGTTTTGGGGTACATGAACAGAGCGTGCAAGACCGTTGCGTAGGTACGCACATAGCAGTGTGCTTTGCTTTGCTTCTCCCCTTCACCCACATTTGGCGTTTCTCCCCAGGCTATCCCTCCCCACCTCCCCCTCCCACTGGCCCTCTCCTTTTCCCCCTCAATAGACCCCAGTGTTTAGTACTCCCCTTTCTGTGTCCATGTGTTCTCATTTTTCATCACCCGCCTATGAGTGAGAATATGTGGTGTTTCATTTTCTGTTCTTGTGTCAGTTTGCTGAGGATGATGTTCTCCAGATTCATCCATGTCCCTACAAACGACACAAACTCATCATTTCTGATTGCTGCATAATATTCCATGATGTATATGTGCCACATTTTTCCAATCCAGGGCATTTGGGTTGATTCCAGGTCTTTGCTATTGTAAACAGTGCTGCAATGAACATTTGTGTACATTATACACAACTATTTTTAAAAGAAAATCAAGAAAACAATATCGTTTACAATAGAACCCAAAAGAATAAAATGCTTAGGAATAAAATTAACCAAAGAAGTGAAAGACTTGTACACTGAAAATTATAAAACACTGATGAAGGAAATTAAAGAAGACACATATAAGTAGAAGGACAGCCTATGTTCATGGATTGAAATAATTAATATTATTCAAATGTCTATACCAGCTGAAGTGATCTACAGATTGAATGCAATTCATATAAAAATTCCAGTGTAATTCTTTACAAAAAAAGAAAAACAATCCTAAAATTCATATGGGACTACAATAGAACCTGAATAGCCAAAACAATCTTGAGCAGAGAACAATGCTAAAAGCATTATATTCTCTGATGTGTATTACAAAGCAACAGTAATCAAAACAGTGTGATACTGGCATGAAAACAGACACAAAGATCAATGAAACCAAATAGAGAATCCAGAAATAAATCCATGCATCTACATTCAACTGATCTTTGACAAGGGGGCCAAGAACACAAAATGGGAAATGGATAGTCTCTTCCACAAATGGTACTGGGAAAACCGAATATTCACATACAAAAGAATGAAACTGAACCCTTATCTCACACCACATTCAAAAATTAACTCAAAATAGATTAAAAACTTAAACATATGATCAAAAACTGTGAAATTACTGGAAGAAAACAGAAGAAAAGCTTCTTGACATTGGTTTGGGCATTGATTCATTGTATATGACCCCAAAGGACAGGTAACAAAAACAAAAATAGACAAATGGGATTGAATCACATTTCTACACAGCAAAGGAAATAATCAACAGAATGAAAAGGTAACATAAGAAATGAGAGAAAATATTTGCAAACCATACATCTCATTGGGGTTAATATCCAAAATATGCCAGAAACTCAACTCAGTAGCATAAAGGAAACCCGAATGACCCAATTTTTTAAAACGGGCAAAGGACGTGAATAGACAGTTCTCAAAAAAAGACAGACAAATGGCCAATAGGTATATAAAAAGGTGCTCTAATTCACTACTGCTCAGAAAAATGCAAATCAAAGCAACATGTGGGCATGGTGGCTCATGTCTGTAATCCCAGCACTTTGGGAGGCTAAGGAGAGAGGATTGCTTGAGGCCAGGAGTTCTGAGACCAACCAGCCTGAGCTGGTCTCAACATAGTAAGACCTTGTCCCTACAAGGAAATAAAAAATTAACTGGGCATGGTATTGTGTACCTATAGTTCTAGCTACTCGAGAGGCTGAGGCAGGAAGACTGCTTGAACCCAGGAGTTTGAAGTTACAGTGAGCTATGATCACACCTCTGCACTCCAGCCTGGGTGACATAGTAAAAACTGTCTCTAAAAATAAAAAACAAAACAAAAGAAACACGTACACTGGAAGATCACCTTAAACCTATTAAAATGACTATTATCAAAAAGGCAAAAGACAACACATGTTGGTGGGGATATGGAGAAAAGGAAACCTTGGCACACTTGGTGGGAATGTAAATCGGGGCCATTATGGAAAACAGAATGGAGGTTCTTCAAATAATGAAAAGTAGGGTGTGCATGGTGTGTGGGTGTGGCATGTGTGTGTTCATGCTGTGTGGTGTGCATGGTGTGTTTGTGAGTGCATGTGTTATGGATTTTGATGTGTGTGAGGTGTGTGGTATATATGATGTGTGTGCATGGTATAAGTATGGTGTGTATGTGCAGTGTGTGCTGGGTAATCTGTGTGTGTACATGGTGTATGGTGCGTATGGTGTGTTGTGGGTGTGTGGCGTATGCGTACACATACGATACGTATAGTGTGTGTGTGTGGTATATTGCTGATGGTACATTAAAGAGAATTTAACCCTAATCTTGCAAGGGGGAAGTCCAGAGGTAATGATTAAAACAGAAAAAAGAAGTACCAGAGTCAGAAGGTTATTTAGAGATTTAAAGGTAAATGCCAATAGGATCAGTTTAAAGAGTCAAAGTGTTTGCCTCTGGGGAGAAGGATATTCAAGCCTTTTTATAGGACTTTTTGACTATTTATGAGCACGTATAAAGTTGATTTTTAAAAACTAATTAAAAGAATTTTAAGCCGGGCGCGGTGGCTCATGCCTGTAATCCCAGCATTTTGGGAGGCCGAGGCTAGTGGATCACGAGGTCAAGAGATCGAGACCATCCTGGTTGACAAGGTGAAACCACGTCTCTACTAAAAATATAAAAAATTAGCTGGGCATCCCAGCTAATTCTACAACTTTAGAAGGCTGGATAATCCAAGGACATGGCAGCAGCTTCTGGTGAGGGCCTTTCTGCTGTGTCATGGTGTGGCAAAACAGAGCAAACTGTCTCCTTCTTGCTGTGAAGTCACTAATCTCTTCATGGGGTCTCCACCCTAATGATCTTACCTAATTCTCATTACCTTCCAATTCTCTACCTCTAGTCTATGGATCTTAGGATTAAGCTTTCAACACAAGATATTTTTGGATGCATTCAGATCATAGCAGATCTATATAAAAAGAACTTTTAAAAAAACATAAAAAATGTAATCTTATTATCTACAGCATTAAACAGACATTAAGAGTGACTAAATCACCTCTTGTAGAATTGGTGCATTGATTGAAATAGGGTGAATCAATTAGATAAAATAATCAGTTGCATAAAAGTGTCCCCTTTGGATGAATGAGTTTGAAAAAAGAAGGCATCCTTGTATCTGTCTGATAATTCCCACATAGTCATGGTTTTCCCAAAAGAATAGGTATTAGATATGAATGTCATTAGTATCTTCTTGGCCTTTAACTTTTATACAAAATTGTTGGCTTGTATTCTTCTAAAATACCAAAGTTAAGAAAGACTGAGGAATTCTACTAAATTAAAGGAGACTAAAGATACATAACAACTAATTGCAAATTATGACTTGAATTGGGTCCTAAACCAGTGGTGGTGAGGGGAGGAGTTTAAAAAGGATATCACTGTTACATTGATACATCTGAATACAGCCTTTGGTTTAGATAATAATATTTTCTGATTTTGATAATTGTATTACTGTTATGTGGGAGAATGTCTTGCTTTTAGAAAATACACACAAGTATTTAGGGACAAAGACATAAGAAATCTCCAAGGGACTCTCAAATGCTGTAGAACTATGTGTGTTTATGTGTGTGCACGCACGTGTGTCTGTGTGTCTAGAGTGAATGATAAAACAAGAAGTAAATTATAAAATTGTTGAATCAGATTAAAAGTTCTGGGGAACTTTTGTGAAGCACTCAGCATAATTGCTGTAAATTTAAAATTGTATCAAAATTAGAAGTTATAAAAAGAAAACTAGGGATGATAGATATAAAAATAAATGTTTTAGTATCTTTCATAAAGCCAGTAACCTGTCATCAGAAGCCAATGAGTTTCAAACAACAATTATTTGCTGAACAAGCTGAGCATGGTATACAGTTGCAAGTAAAAGCAAGAAAATGATGAGGGTGATTGAGGAGACTGAGGTGCGTCTCCAGACGGCTGTAAAACTGAGCGATAATGCTGTATTAAGGAACGTTTGTATTTCCCAGGTGTGAATGATCTCTCCTAGCTAAAATACTTTGTTTTTTCAATAGGATTACTAATACTTTTATGTAAAACCCAATCTCATTCTTGATCAAATTAGATAAAAAAAAGTATAAGCCTAAAAATTAGCTGTAATCCCAGCTACTCAGGGGGCTCAGGCAGGAGAATTGCCTGAACCCAGGAGGCGGAGGTTTCGGTGAGTCGAGATTGCACCATTGCACTCCAGCCTGGGTAACAAGAGCGAAACTCCGTCTCAAAAATAAAAAAAATTTTTTAAATGTTCCAAAACAAGCAGGAAGGGCACACACTTCATCGTGAGTGTGGCTGAGAGAGATTGGGTTAGAGAAGAGAGGGTGAGACCCGGAAGCTCCAGGGACTGGGGAGTAGTTAAAATGACAGAATGTTCACAGTTGTTAACTGCAGGTTGTGGGAAAGCTGGTAGGTTGCTTCAGTGTTTGTTCCCTCTGTACGTTTTCATGTTTAGCATTCCTTAAATTAGCATAATAATGAACTGTGTGATTAGCCACAGAGTTGAGGGTGTGGAGCTTACACAGGACAGCTGAGTACTGGGGTAAAATCAACAGTATTTAAAGAACTGACTATTTATAGGATTAACAGAAAGAGAACACCCTGAACAAGGGATGGTAAGAAAGGACGCCAGGGCTCTGTCTCACTCTCCTGGCCACACCTGGAGGACGCACACTTTCAGAGGGTGTTGATGAAGGATATGGAGAGACCTGAAGCTCTGGGCGCTGCCTGGTCTGAGAAGAGAAACTCCAAAACACAGGAGCTGAGCGCAGATATGGGAGGGAATGGGGGCAACTGGCCCAGCGAGGGACCCTTGTCATGGCTGCATCTGTTGATTGCCTTCTTTGTGTGGGCACTGCTGTGACTGTGCTAAATGTCTACTTACCTAAATCCAATTCTGTGCACTTGTTTCTACTCTTGTAAGAAAGACAACAGTGACAACCTCAAACCAGTAATCTAGTCAACAGAGCAGTTCCCAAGCCACGAAATGTGGGGAATTCAGATTCGTCAGCACTCACAGAGACCACAGTGATTCCCGATAAGCGTGGCCAGCAGCATGGATCCTGACTGACCTCCACTTTTCTTCTGTGTTTACAGAACCACAAAAACTGCAGTGTTTTCATTTTTGTTGCTTGTTTCACAGGTCTGTATACCCCGCTTTTAAAGTCAAAAAGGGTCTTAGTGATGGACAATAAAAGTATAAACTCAGTACAATGTAAAATCTGCCTTTTTCATATACATATGTATATATTTACACTTTTACTCACTTATGCATATGTATCAGAATTTTTTTTTTTTTTTTGAGACCGAGTCTTTTGCTGTTGGCCATGCTGCAGCGCAATGGCTTGATCTTGGCTTACTGCCACTCCGCCTCCTGGGTTCAAGTGATTCTCCTGCCTCAGCCTCCTGAGTAGCTGGGATTACAGGTGTACAGCACCACGTCAGGCTAATTTTTGTATTTTTAATAGAGACAGGGTTTCACCATGTTGGTCAGGCTGGTCTTGAACTCCTTACCTTGTGATCTACCTGCCTTGGCTTCCCAAAGTGCTGGGATTACAGGTGTGAGCCACCCACCGCGCCTGGCCTAGAATTTTTAAAAATGGAAGTATTTCAGTCATTAAGCATATCAGCCACCTTTATTAATTTTACTGTACTTATATTAATTATTGAAGCTTAAACTTTATAATAGTGGAGGATAAGTTAAATGTAGCAAAAATATTTCTCCTTTATTATTATTTTTCTTGTTTTCTGAAGTATTTATTTTTTGACACAAGGTCTCACTCTGTTGCCCAGGCTGTAGTGCAGTGGTGCAATCTCGGCTCACTGCAGCCTTGACCTCCTGGGTTCAATCATCCTCCTACCTCAGCCTCCAGAGTAGCTGGGGCTACAGGCGTGCACCACCACTCCTAGATACTATTTTGGGTATTTTTTGCAGCGACGATGTCTTGCCATGTTGCCCAGGCTGGTCTTGAACTCTTGTGCTCAAGCAATCTTCCTGCTTTGGCCTCCAAAAGTGCTGGGATTATATGAGTGAGCCAGTGCCGGTGCCCTGTTGCTTCTTTAAATAAGGGACAAAAGATTTAAAAAGAAAACAGGAAGTACCTTCCTCCTGTGTAACTCAGGAAGCAGCTAATTGATCATATTACAGTAAAGAGGAACCAAATAAACTTTGTGTCTCAAAATATCAGGCGCACTGCTTCTGTGAAATGAGTTAAAGTATGTAGTAAAATAGTAGTCATCCACTGATACTCATGCTTATTTTCCTAAGTGAATTCTCCAGAATTCTGAAAATCAGTGAAAAGATCATGTCATGTTGGTTCTACACAAAACCAAGCATGGCATGTGGCTGTCCGTGTTTCAGGGCATACACATCCCTTTCCACCCGGATCAATGTGCCCCACGGGACGCTACTTCCTACCTTTTCCACCAGATTCAGTAAACAGTGCTTTGCATAGCGGACACAGGATCACACTGATGGCACAAAAGAAGGTCAGTCTGTGGAAGGAGCTTGGAACGTCAAACGGGGCACGTTAAGGAGGCGTAACCCATCACGTCGGCTTTTCTGCTGTTATTATTTTTTCAGGTAAAAAATAAAAGTACCAGGACTCCCTGAATCCAGCAGGCGTTAGAACAGAGGAAGGCGGAGGGCGGCCTCCTGCAAACCTCTCCTACCCCTGCCAGTTTCCAGTCCAGAGTCCAGGGGCTGGAGCATCCGGGCTGCCCGGGCTTGCGCTTGGAAACAGAAATGCCTTCAACTCCCAGTTCTCTCAGGGCCTCCGACCCACCTACCAGGGCTCAGCCCGGGAACCAGCGGGTGGACGGAGCGGGGTCGCGCCCTGGAACGCGGAGCGGGCGAGGAAGGAGAAAAGCCCAGCTGGCAACGGAAGGGCGAGCGTCCTGCCTTTCCCAGCGGCCTTGTCCCGGCCATCCTGGGACTGCGGGAGGGGGGCCACCCACCCGCGCCCCGTCCACGCCCCTGCCCCGTGCCCCACCCTGCGCCCCACCCCGTGCCCCATCCCGTGCCCCACCCCGTGCCCGCCCCTCTGCGGAGCGCAGGGGGCCTTGGTCGGGTCCCGCGGGGCCCCTCGCGCGCTCCAGAAGCATCAGTGTCCTCTGGGCGGCCACGGGCCCGCTGCGGCTCCCACCCTGGCGCCCCTGGATTGCTCGCGCCACTCAGCCTTACGCCCCACTCCTTCCAACCCGAATTTTGCAGCCTCAGAACTGGAACCGTCTGCTGGCTGAAGTCGCTTGGGACCAAACCTGCGACAGGCATTGGCAGCTGGACTCTCCCTCCCAGGGAGGCCGGGGCGCGCGGCGAAGTGTGGGGTCTGCCGCCCCCTGCCGGCCTGGATGACGTTCGCGTCTGTGTCCACGCTGCCCAGCAATGTTCCAGCTGGAAGGTTTGGAAGGCAAGGCTGAGAATCAATGCTGTTTGCAAAGTCCAGAAAAGAAAAGAAAAAAATGTTGCTCTTCTGTTTAGCAAAAGTTTTCCCAGCCAAGCCAGCACTTCTGTGGGTTGTATTTAAGTCCTAAGTGCGTCAGAGCTGTTGCCTGCAGGCGCTGGAAGTGCCCAAGCGGAAGTTTGAGGACAATGTCTCTGGAAACTCCAGACTCTGGGATGAAGCAACCTTTCCACATTAAGCATGTAGCATAATCCACCAGGTCCTACGATTTACCCATCACGCAGAAGGAGCAAGTCTCTGCAAAACAGGGCTTTCAAAGAGCCTTTTCAGGAGAAGAAAATGTTGGAAGAACTGATTTGTTGTTCACTTTGCATCTAAAACGAATCCCCTTAAAGGTATTTTTGGGTATGAACGATAAATAATGAAAAAGATCAAAATAGGAATGTTTCCTTCACTTTAACCTGACCCAGGAAGTGACTTCAGGCCCTAGATTCTAATTTGAACTCCACGATTTCTACCATTCCTTGGCTTTTTTTTTGCTTTCAGACTCAACACCTTTCAGACTCATCTGTGAATACAGTAGGCGCTCCATAAATCCTTATTCTAGGCACTGCCATTGATGCCTGTGGCAGTGACTGCAGGTGGGCAGGCTCCTGCAGCGGTAAGGCGTGGGGCTGGAGGGCCTGGCTCTGGCATCCAACCCTGCTCCATCCTCCACACTAGCTCTGTGACTTTGGAAAGGTTATGAAACTCTGCTAAACTCTCTATTGATAAAATGAGAGTGGTAGTAATAGCACCTCCCTCACAGAGTTGGAGTGAGGAGTAAATAAGATAACCTGTGTAAAGAACCTAGTGTGGTGCCTAGTGTTGTGTCAACTACGTATTGGACAGGGGACTAGTATCCAAAATATACAAGGAACGCAAATATTTCAACAGCAAAAAAACAATTAAAACATGGGCAAATGATCTGAGCAGGCATTTCTCAAAAGAAGACATTACAAATGTCCAATAAATGTATGAAAACATGCTCAACCTCACTAACCCTCAGGGAAACGGAAGTCAAAACCACAATGAGCTATTTGCTCACCCCAGTTAGGATGGCTATTATCAGAAAGACAAAAAATAACACATGCTGGAGAGGATGCAGAAAAAAAGGGAACTTTTCTACACAGTTGATGGGAATTTAGTATAATCTCTCTGGAGAACAGTATGGAGGTTCCTCAAAAAACTACTAGTAGAAGTACTATATGATCCGGCAATCTTACTACTGGCATTTATCTAAAGGAAGGAAAATCATTATATCAAAGAGTCATCTGTGGCCCCAGGTTTATTGCAGCTGTATTCACAACAGCCAAGACATGGAATCAACCTAGTTGTCTGACCACACATGAATGGATAAAGAAAATGTGGTATATACATACCATGGAATACTATTCAGCTATAAAAATAATGAAATCTTATAATTCACTGCAACTTTGTCTAATTTCACCTTTCCACTTATTTGCTTATCAGAAGTTGATTGCTAGGGATTCCCAGAGAGTCTGAACTCAGTGGCACTTTCCCACCTGAAGGTAAAGGGCTATTTGTAGTCCCTGGTGGAACCCTGGTTGCCAACATCAGTCATTCCACTTAGAGCAGTTCTCGAGCAGTCTTTGATGCAAAGTAATATTGGAAGAACTGCCTCAAGCATGTTCAATGGTGATTACTACTGACTGTGGCCTGGTAGGTAGAAAGGCTACTCAAAGAGACCAAATGCAGTGGCCTTGGTCACTTCTCAGCCTCTATATGTATATTGAAAGTTGGTTTTGCAAAGGAGGTCAAATGAAACTAAACAACGTTTGCAATAATCCATCACTGCTTGTGGATGGGGAAAGGTTTTGGAAGGGACTCGGCTTGAGGTTAGTTATGGGTTGGTGCTCCCTTGCCTACAGATTCTTTCAAAATACTGTCCTTACAACTTACTGAACTGGAATGTCAACTCGGTGTATTCTTTCTTCTCTGGCCACTCATAAGGGACTTAGGTACTGTTGGATTCAGAGAAGCATTTTAAAAAATTCAGGGAACCACCTTATTGAACTCTTACACTAAGGACCAGAGGACCTATTCTTTTGTGAAGGTCAAGTGATCTTTAAAAAGCTGGGGTGGGGGGAGGCTCCTTTTCTCCACAAATGACATTCTTTTCTTTTCCAAGGGGTCTGGGGCTCCCCATGTTTTTGGCACATCCTGTCTTCAGTGGCTTACCATGGCCATTGGATTAAAATCCACAATAAGACAGTCTCCCCTGCCCCAATCTAGTTTCCTCTCTCATCCCTCCCCCAGTGCTCCTCAGCTGCTTATTCCAGTCTAACCAGGTGCCTTAGTCAGCTTGGGCTGCCATCACAAAATACCCTACACCGGAGGTGGGGTAGCGGAATGGGAGGTTAGACACAGACATTTATTTCTGGCGGTTCTGGAGGCTGGATGTCTAAGATCAAGGTTTTGGTAGATGCAGTGTCTGATTAAATCTCTTTCTTTGCTTTTAGATGGCCCAAATCCTCCCTGCACCTTCACATGGCATCTCCTGTCTGCTTGTGCTGGAAGGAAAGGGACGGGGTGTGTGTGTGTGTGTGTGTTTGTGTGTGTGTAGACTACTGTCTTCCTCTTTCTACACGAGCACTAATCCCATCATGGGAACCCCACCCTCATGACCCGATGTAACCCTCATCACCTCCTAAGGCCCTGCCTCCAAATACCAGCCCATTGTGAGTCAGGGCTTCAGCATATGAATTTTGGGAGGATGCAAACGTTCAGCCCATAACATCAGGGACTGCAAACTCAGGCACCTTCAGGGGCCAGGCAGGTACAATGACTTCTTGTTGAGAGAAGACAATTTAATATTTTAAACACAGTCGTTTGTCACTGTCACTCCAGCAGCCACACAAAACCAAGTTCACCGTCCCTCCTCCCCTAAGTCCCCTCTCCTCCCCGCACCCTGGTTCAGCCCAGGGCAGCTCAGACACTCCATCCCCAGCCACGTGGGGCCAGGGCGCCTCCAACATCCCCAAGCTGGGGATGCTTCCGGCAGGATGACGGGCCTGGAAGGCAAGTAACTGGCAGGCCCCGGGGACAGGGTGCCCGACGAATGACCTGACCGACACGAGCAAACCAGGCCGCAGCTGCTCCTCCTGAGGCTGGAGGGGCCCTGTGTTCCCATCACCTACTCTCTGCGTCCCCTCTTCGGGTGCAAAACCTCGACTCCCTCTGGTCTCCGGCCCCGCCCCGCACGCTTCGTGCTCTGAATGAAGATGGCGGCGCCCTGTACTTCCGGGCGGTGCCCTGTACTTCCGGGAGGCGCCCTGTACTTCCGGGCCGCGAAAGAGCCCTGAGGAGCCTCCTCCAGTTCCTGCTGTGGGGACCGCTGACTCCCTGCCTCCAGCCAACTCCTTTTCCTTTCCCCGCGGGACTGCGTTTCCTCGAGTGACAGCCCCACTCTCCTCCGGAACTCACCCTTGGTAACCAACCCCTTCTTTCCTCTCGCCATCCACGGACGCTCTTCTGAAATGTCGCCTCCATTCCCGGGGCCTCCAGCTCCCTCTGTCTTGGCTTCATCGCGGACACATTTCTTCAGTTATCTAATATGCTGTTTCCATTTCGTCTCCCACTGACTCTTCAGCTGTGATGCTATGGTCTGAATGTGTCTCTCAAAATTCATATGTTACAAACTCTTTTTTTTTTTGAAACCGTGTCTCACTCTGCGGCCCAGGCTGCAGTGCAGCGGTGCAATGTCGATTCACTGCAGCCTCAACCTCCCGGTTTCGGGTGATCTTCCCACCTCCGCCTCCCAGGTAGCTGGGACTACAACTGTGTGCTACCACACTCGGCTAATTTTTGTATTTTTGGTAGAGACAGGGTTTCGCCATGTTGCCCAGGCTGGTTGGTCTCAAGTTCCTGAGCTCAAGGGACCCACCACTTTGGCTTCCCAAAGTACTGGAATTACAGACTGAGCCACTGCGCCTGACCCAACATGATGCAAACTTAGTGCCCCATGCAGCAGTGTTGGGAGATGGGGCCTTTTGGGAATTTAGGCCGATTAATGCTGTTTTAAAGGGAGCTTGGGGGAGTGGGTTCGGGCTCTTTCAATCTCCTGCTGTGTAAAGACACAATGTTCATCCTCTCCTACTCTCCACCTTCTGCCACGTGAGGACACTGGATCAGGGGCTTTGAAGCTTCCAGGACTGTGAGAAGATACAATTCTGTCCTGTTTGGGTTACCCAGGATGTAATCAGGGTAATCCATAAAGGGCTGTGACACTTTTTACAGCAGTGCAAACGAGCTGAGACATATGGCGTGGCTCTGTTCCCACCCATCTACTGACTTGCATCGCCAAACTCAGTGAGCATTTTTTAGTCCTTAGCTTTCTAAAAGGACATCTTCGTAGAGTGGGGCCTGGAGCTCAGACAGTGCTGGTGATTAGGGTTGAGGCTTAGACACTGTTTTAAAATTGGGAGGAGGCTCCTAACCATCCTGCCACAACCACTGATTCACCCAGAGGTCAGTGCAGTCTGCCTGGGAGAAAAATACTTAGATGTCAGCATTGTACTGACTACTGAGGTTCAGAGATATAAAATCTTGTACAAATGGGGTGGCTCTGGGCCAAGATCAATTTGTTAGATACAGCCAGGCTTCCTGAGAGAATGCTCCATTAAGGGAAAAAAGGAGGTGGGCTGGCCTTGAACAGGCAGTTCTCTCCCTTGGGGTCTCTCATGAGGTTACAGTCAGATGGTGGTACAGCCACAGAAGCGGCTCCGTACCACATGGCTGGCTGTGCCAAGCACTCAGAGGTCTCCCCCAGCACCATGATATCAGGTTGGAGAGACTACTGGTTTGAGATAGAAGGTGGTACGAATGCCAAAAGTCCATGCCAACCCTCCAGCCACAGTGCCAAAAGCACATTCTTCAGCATGCTTTATGGAAGAAGGATTGCATGTTTATGGTAATTAAATATTGTAAAACTTTTGGTTCTCAAAAATCTGTGTGTGGTTACACCCCTGACTGAGCACGATGGTGGTGGGGACGGGGTGATATCCTTTGAATCAGCAGAAGCCTAACTTTCTGCTTGCAATGACAGCCAGAGCTTATTCCCCAGGTACCATCTGCCATAAATATACAAGTCCCTTTACCTAACAAAGTCACAGTGATATTGGGGGCGTGCCACCACTGACCCCACTGGCCAGTGGGAGGAGACTAACCATGTGCTCAAAGCTGTTGGGGCAACAAAGTCCAAGGATTTAACCTGAGTTAAGATGGCAGAGGGAAGGATTTTAGGGGGAAACTTTTGGCAAGCTCTGGAAGAAGATGAATTATAGATCATGAGTAATAGAAAGCGACACACAGGAAGCTAGTAATGCTCAGGCTCAGGGCCCCTTCCTTGCGTGAGTCCCATGGCAGATTGTATTTTTCAAGATGGCAGCCACAAGACCCCAGCCACATGGACTCTTCTTACAGGGTGAGGCCCTTATGACTCCCATGGAAACGTGGGGTCTATGTGTTCTTCCCTAGAATCTGGGCAGGCTTGTGATTTTGATGTAGATAATGCTTGAGAATTTCAAGGTTAGATTGTAAAGGATAACTAGCTTCAGCCCAATTCTCTTGGAAGCCAGCTGCCATGCTTCTAGGAAGCCCAGACACATGGAGAAGCTCTGGGTGTTTTGGCCAATAGTCCCAGATGAGGTTCCAGCAATAGCTGGGTTCACCCATGAGATGTGAGAGAGGAAGGCTTTGAGATGGTTTCAGCCCTAGTCGCCATCTGACTGTAAACTCATGAGAGATTCCAAGGAAGAGAATCCCCTGGCCAAGCCCAGCAGACCTCCAGAATTGTGAGAGACAATAAAGCAATTCTTATTTTAAGCCACTATGTTTTGGGGTGATTCATCCCATACAATATCTGACTTCAACAGGACAGCAATAAACAACTTCAACCGGCCCCGTCTGAGGCTCTGAAGGGGCCCTGGCAGTGTGTTCATTTGGTCATTTACTTTGGTTAAGTTTGTAAAAGTCAGCCATTTCGGCTGTCATTAAAATTTTGATCTCTTTCTACCCTGACTTGTTCTTCACCTCTTCGTGTTGGGTGGTAGAGTGGATGTGGGCATTTTTGGGGTCCAGCCAAAGAAGAATTGAGTTGAGTCATAGAGTTTGGGTTCCACGGGATTTATTTCTGTGGTATGGGGCCTGTTGAAGTTGTCTCTTGCTGCCCGTCCCTGTGTAAAATGGCTTTCAGAATAGTCTTACCTCCCTTGTGCTGACTTAAGTGGTGGTGTAATGTAAATATGCAAGACCATAGATTGCATCGTGATTGTGTCATATGACGTGGATTTGCATGAACCGGGATGGAGTTGGAGGCCATTATCCTTAGGAAAGTAATGCAGGATAGTCCCAGATGATAGTCCCAAATATCGCATGTTCTCACTTGTAAGTGGGAGCTATGATGACAACACAGGGACACATAGAAGGGAACAACACATACTGGGGCTTATTGGACGGTAGGGGGTGACAGAAGGGCGGGCATCAGGAAAAATAACTAATCGGTACTAGGCTTAATACCTGCGTGATGAAATAATGTACACAACAAACCCACATGACACAAGTTTACATATGTAACAAACCTTCACTTCTACCCCTGAACTTAAAATAAAAGTTAAATAATAGAAACAGAAATGTACAGAGCTAGTAAAAAGTCTAGCTCCTCCCATCTGGGAATTATTCCACATCCTACAGCTCCTACACAAAAATAGTTTGATGGAGGCTTTCCTAAGTTTGCCAAGAATCCTGAAACTTATCTTTCATTATCAATGATGAGTTATGAATTTGAAGGAAAAATTTAAATCTATCAATAATAAAATACTAGAGGCAAAATGGATGATTCTTCTTTCATAGAATATGATATTACAACGTTATTGAAGAGGCAATCAAAGAATACATGGCAAAAAGTAATGGGAAAAGAGTGTTATAGAGATCGGTCAGGAATTTGTTTAATTAAAATTGCTATTTTACTGAGTTTTATGTGCGTTTAGTGGTAGCAGTAGCCAGAGCAGACTTTGCTGGGAGCTTGGGCCATTGAGATCGGTATTATTAAAGTTACGTTGGCCTCATTTGCTCTTACCTGCTGGCACACACAGGGTCCATCTCACTTGATTTCTCACAAGTCTTTGGTACCCATGACCACACCCACCTTTTTACAGTTTTCACTTTCCCTGGCTTCTCTGGACCCACACTGTCAACTTTCTCCTCTGGCTCACTGTGCTCAGTCATCTCTACAGAATTCTCTTCTGGGTCTCTGTGTTGCTAACAGCTTCTTTTCCTCTCTCTGGACAAGCTCATCCACCAGCTTGCTTCCGTCCCACCTACCTGTTGACAACTGCTGATTCCACATCTCCAGTTCAGACCTCTTTCCTAAGCTCTACACCAGGAATTGGCAAACTTTTTCTGTAAAGCAAAAGACAGCAAATATTTTATCAGCTTGCTTGTCATTGTACCATCTCTGTGACATCTGCTCAACTCTGCTAAGGCAGTGCAAATGTAGCCACCGACAATAGTAAAAGAATGGGTGTGTCTGCGTTCCGATAAAACTTGACTTATAAAAATAGGGGCTGCCCCATGGGCTGTAGTTTGCCAACCCCTGCTCTAGATCAGAATATCCAACTCCCTTATGGAAATTTCCACTTGGGATTTCACAACTTCCCAAACATAACATTGTCCCCAGATAAATTCATCTTCTTCACTCCTGTGTGTTCCTTCTTAATGGATGATACCACTAGTCACCAGGTGTCCAAGCCAGAAAATCAGGCAGCACCCTTGATTTCATTCCCCACATTCAGTCAGTCACAAAATCATGTCAGTTCTACTTTCTCAACATTCCCCTAATTCATTCCCTTTTCTCTTTCTCCACTGCCTTCTTTTAGCCCCTCTTGTCTCTCGCCTCCTACCTTGTGCTTCTTATAATCTCCTTCCTCACTGTGCTGCAATCAGAGGGAATCAGGCCACCCCTGGATTTTGAAAGCTTTCAAGACAGTAGTCTCTGCCTTTGGTTGAAGTGTAAACTTCTTGAAACAGAGTGAGAAGCCTGCACAATTGGACCATTTCCCCATGTTAGCCAAATTCCTCTCATCTGTCTGCACCTCCTGCCTCTGAGACCCTGCACATATATTTCTTCTGCTTAGGGAATGTGTAGCTGGTTATCAGCAACTCTCTGAGGCCAGTATCCCATGGGCAGTAAGAAGCATTTACTGAGACAGTTGTGGATAAAGAGAGGCAGATTTATTAAAGAAAGTATGAAAATTTGTTGCAAGGGAGCAATGGGCAGGCCAGCAGGAGGGGAGCTGCCTGCCAGGAGACAAAGGCTTGCTAGGGGTTTTATAGGATGGTGCTTGTGCTGTGTGCTGAAGAGGGTTTTGTGTAGTATTGATAATGCCAAGGTTGCAGTGGGCTAACCTGCACTTTTCTATCAGCCAAGGGTCTGGTGATAGATGGGCACAGGAAGACTGTGGATTATTTGTGCAGGAGGGCTATGGTCCTGGACCCTGAAGAAAGACAGGCTTCAAGCTTATCTCCTTGGTCTCTCTGTTTTCTCTCAGTCCCACCAGCCTGACTCCTTTTGCCTAATTAGGACTTTAGAGAATTTTTCTTTTTTCTCATCTCTCTGGCTGTCTTCTAAGTCTCTACTTGGAGGATACCTCCTCTGGGAAGTGCCTCCTCAACCCTCAAGGCTGTCCCTTTGTGCACCACTATAGCAAATGGGACCTGGGCCACTTCACTTTTACAGTTCCAGGTTACAGACCTGCATTGCTCCAACCCCATGAGACCGAAGCCTCCCTGAGGGCAGCGATGGCCTCTTATTTACTCGTGATTTCCCAGCACCTAGCACAGCACTAACCACTGTGCCCACAGAAAGACCATCTGAAGGACTAGAGCTTAGAGCAAAAGTGGTTTCCACTGACATTCCTTCTCTCCTCCCCAACTTTGGATTGAGGAGCCAGGAGCTAGTCATGCTGCAGGAGGAGAGGACGAAGGAGAAGTCATTGCTCAGGGCCTCTGTTTTGCTGGTGTGTGGAGATGGTGGGTCTCCCTTGAACACCTGGAAGGCAGGAGCAAGTATGGACTCCTCCCGCCTCTGGGTTCTGGACCCACATGGGGGGTTGCTGCTCTCTGGCACCCATCAGTCCTTAACCGACTGACCTCCAGCCAGAGAGGTAGTGTGGTGGTGGAGAGGCCTCTCTGTCCCACCCACGAGTCCCGGGAGCTTACGAGAATCAGCCAAAGGCTGAGTTCTGCACCCTGAGTTAGGAACTCTGTAACTTCAGAATCTCCTTGAACTTTGAGAATTCTCTTAACTAGTATGAGAGCAGTTACATCATCCTAGGTCCTCCAAAAATAGATCTCTCCAAATATAGACACATATATATGCAAATATATACATGTATGTATATATATATATATCCAAATATATAATTTTTGTTTTGAAATTATTATAAACACAAGGAATTATAAATAGGTGCTGAGAGGTTCCCTGTACCTGTGGCCCCACCTCCCCCAGGCAATATCTTACGTAACTATAACTCATGATTAAAACCAGGAAGTTGCCATTGGCACAATGTCAGAAACTAGTCCATAGACCTTGCTCAGATTTCACCAGGTTTTTTGTGCACTCATTGGCTTCTCTGAAAAGATTTACATGTTTTCTGCATGACTGGTCTCCCCACATACTGTGAGATGAGTTTTTTTTCTGACTGAGCTTAGAGACCAGTGAATGTGTGAGATGGGAAGGATGATTCGGTGCGTCTCTGTTTTATCCACGTTGAGTCTGGACCTCAGGGCAGAAGGACCCCGGTCTCTCCTCTGGGGAGTGCTGGTGTCGCCTCAGTGCAGGCTGCTAAGTTATCCAGGACTGATAACTTAGCAGGTTATCAGTCTTCTTTTCTGCTTACATTTACCTTAAGCATGTAACACGTCTGATGAGGAGATGGCCAATGAAGATTGATTTGTTAAAAGCTGAATAGACATCTAGACTTTTTCAAGTATAGCTCATTTAAGAAAGTATCACCTCACTGAGCCTCAAATGAGCCAGGGCTCACTTAGAAAGTGTCTACTAGTGCGAAGCAAAGTGCCTCACACCTGGAATCCTAGCATTTTGGGAGGCTGAGGTGGGAGAATACCTTGAGCCCAGGAGTTCAAGATCAGCCTGGGTAACATGGTAAAATCCCATCTCTACAGAACACACACACACACACACACACACCCCTGGCTGTGGTGGCATTCGCCTGTGGTCCCAGCTACTCTGGAGTCTGAGGTGGGAGGGAGAATCGCTTAAGTCTGGGAGGCGTACGACTGCAGTGAGCTATGTTTGCGCCACTGCACTATAGCCCGAGTGACAAAGCCAGCCCCTGTTTCCAATAAACAAACAAACAAACAAATAAATTAATTAATAAAAATAAAAAGAAAGGTCCCCGAGTGGGTTACATTTTAACCACTGTGCTACCTGAGATGATAGCCAGCTATCTCCTTACCAGCGTGAGGGCTGATAAGCATCTCATTGCATGGTCCCAGGGACTGATGAACGAAGGCTAACGTGAAAAAAAGCAGCTAAAGAAACAAGAGCCACCTCCAGGTTAATTACTACAAGTCTCCTCACTGATATGCCCTAATACACTAAAACAGCAGTAAAAACAATCTGCACATCGGCATCAAAGAAACAGATATACTTGCTAAGGACCCTTACCATGACAGAGGGATGATTTGTATGAGTCCTTAGTGGATTAATTAAGTTCTTGCTATTTCCGTTTGGAAATGACACTGTCCTCTTGGGGCTATGCAGAGATGTTCATGGTGACGAAACGAGCTGTCCTGGAACGGCACTTCCCAGGTGGCAGACCCTGGGCTCGAGGAAGGTGGAACGTGGGTGTGGCAAGCAGCTGCAGGTGCAAATGTCAGGTCAGCAATGCATTCCAGCTTGTGTGGACGTGCGTCACCTAGGAAGTTGTGACCTCACTGCAGTTTCCGCTTCAGGTGAGACAGAAGGGCAAACTTCCTGGTGAGGTTGACCTTTCCTTGTATTTATGACTTTCTTTCTTTTTTTTTTTTTTTTTTGAGACAGAGTCTTGCTCTGTCACCCAGGCTGGAGTGCAGTGGCATGATCTTGGCTTACTGCAATCTCCATCTCCTGGGTTCAAGACCCTTCTGAGTATCTGGGATTACAGGTGTGTGCCATCATACCTGGCTAATTTTAGTGTTTTTAGTAGAGATGGGGTTTCGTCATGTTGGCCAGGCTGGGCTCGAACTCCTGACCTCAGGTGATCTGCCTGTCTCAGCCTCCCAAAGTGCTAGGATTGCAGGTGTGAGCCACCACCCCCAGCAGTGTTTATAACTTCCTTTGTACATACTTGCAAGGCAAGAAGAGACATCCATTCCTTCATAAAAGGCCTGAGTGGATCTTGATTGCAGGTCTCATGCTGGGCAGAGCTAAGGAAATTGGATTTGTCTCCAATCTCATTTGAATATTCTTATTCCTGTTATAAGTGCAGCAGCAGAATCTCCACAAATCTGGTGTGCAAAACTTTCTGGTAGCTCCTTTAGCATAGAGAGGCTGGGGAAGGGTAGAGACCGATTTGTAGTTTTTAGATGTGTAGTTGATCCTTGAGTAACACAGGTCTGAAGTGTTTTGGAGTTTTGCAACAATTTGAAAAATACTTAAACCAAGTAGCTAGAAATATCGAAAAAATTAGGAAAATGTTAATAATGTCATGAATGCATAAAATGTCTGTAGCTACCTAGTCTGTTTTATCATTTACCACCATATAATATACATGAAACTATTACACAAAGTTAAAAGTCACCAGAATGTATGCACACACTCACAGGCCATATGTGGTGCTAATCTCAGTCAAGAGAAGTGAAATAAACATAAAGATGCAGTATTAAATTGAAACTGCCTTGGCCGGGAGTGGTGGCTCGTGCCAGTAATCCCAGCACTCTGGAAGGCTGAGGCGAGTGGATCACTTGATCAGGTGTTCAAGACCAGCCTGACTAACACGGTGAAACCCTGTTATCTCTACTAAATTTACAAAAATTTGCCAGGCATGGTGGTAAGTGCCTGTAATTCCAGCTACTCCAGAGGTTGAGGCGGGAGAATTGGTTGAACGCAGGAGGCGGATGCTGCAGTGAGCTGAGATTGCGCTACTGCACTCCAGCGTAGGTGACAGAGCGCGACTGTTTCAAAAAAAAAATCGTAACTGCATAAACCTAACTGTAGTGCATATTGCATGTAATAATTTCATAGCTTCCTCCTGTTGCCATTCCAGTGAGCTCTGGTATCATGAGTATCTGCTTAAAACATTGCGTGAAACTCCTCATCCCGCCATGAGCAGCTCATCCCCAGTGAACTGCACATCACAGTAAAAAGTGCCCTCTCCCTGTTCTCATGTACTTTTCCTGCTGTTTCATGCAGTACTGTAAACCCTGAATAACACTGTGGGATCCATATGAAGTGGCACTGGTGATGCTGAAGTGCTCCCAAGAAGCAGAGAAAAGTCATGACATGACAAGAAAAAGTTGAATTGCTTGATACATACGTAATACAGGTCTGCAGCTGGGGTGGCTGCCATGTCAGACAGATGATTCATCTTGTAAACAGGCAGTGTAACTTACTGTATGAATAAATACAGAACAGTGCTGTAGATGTATTTTATCTTCCTTATGATTTTCTTACAAACATTTCCTTTTCTCTAGCTTACTTTATTGTAAGCCTATGGTATGTAATACATATAACATACAACATACGTGTTATTAACTGTTGCTGGTCAACAGCAGGCTCTTAGTAGTTAAGTTTTTGAGAGTCAGAGTCATACCTGGATTTTCTACTGTGTATGGTCAATGTCCCACGCCCCCAAGTTGTTCAAGGGTCAGCGGTAATCCTAAAAGAATCTGATACAATATTGTACACAGTAAGTGGTCAATAAATAATGAATTGAGCTAAATAAGAACACATAAATCTCAGAATATGTGCAATCTGATCATAGTTCACAGAGATCTTTCTATATATATATATAAATACATATATCTATACATATATACGTATATACATATATTTCTTTTCTCAGTTCATGCCATTCACTCAGGTGGAAAGCGCCTTATTTTGAATTAGTTGTCTTTAGAGCAAAAGACTCCTATGCCCAATCTGGAATAGCTCATTGCTTCGTGCCTACCCTGGACATGAAGGGCCGTGCCACAGCGGGTCTCTATGCACCCACCCTGCCTATACCTGAGCAACATATTCCTCTTTCCTTCTCTTCTACAGGCTCCAGAGTGCAGTGACACCAGCACAGAGCTCAGCTCAACGTCCCTCTGTGCTTTCACGATGCCGATGGATTATGAAGGTAGGGAAGAATGTATAGCCAGGAGGCCATGAGGAGGGGAACCAATTTATAAAGTCACATTTGTAGAATTGAGGTGGGTGGATCACGAGGTCAGGAGATCAAGACCATCCTGGCTAACACGGTGAAACCCTGTCTCTACTAAAAATACAAAAGATTAGCGGGGTGGTATGTGCCTGTAGTCCCAGCTACTCAGGAGTCTGAGGCAGCAGGATCGCTTGAACCAGGGAGGTAGAGGTTGCAGTGAGCTGAGATCATGCCACTGCACTCCAGCCTGGGTGACAGAGTGAGACTCCATCTCAAAAAACAAAACAAAAAAACAAAACAACCCAAAACTGAAAATTCTTTAATACAAAAAAAACCTGACCCTTTTTTCTTAGCCATCAGAGAGATGATGCCATTACACTAATGGAGCCACTGGAACACTCCACGGTATCCTTGCCAGAAAATGAAAGTGAAAAGGGCCAATAAAATCTTCGTTTTCTCAAGACAAAGTGTTTTAACCTTATAGATTCTCTCTGAAGGGATCTCAGGGGTCCTCAGGGTTCTCCAGAACACACTTTGAGAACTGCAGTCTGAAATCACTGATTTTTACATGTCTGTTTTCTCCTGAGCATCTAGCATTAGAGAAAACCCTAAAAAACATTCATTGTATCCCACAAGTTTGGATAAACTGTGTTCTTTTCTTATTCAGTTCACAACTTTTCTGAATTCCTTGGTGATTTCTTCTGTGTCTCAAGAAATATTTTGAAATGCGCCTTTTCACATCCAGATCTCTGAGAAGTTTGCGAACTTTCCCTTATTTGTCCATTACTTCATTCTGTTGTGTTCAGAAAACACACCCTTTAATTCATTTAAATCTGTGGAGACTTGCTGAAAGGCCACGTGTAGGGTATACCTCGGTGAATGCTCCATGCACACTTGAAGGTGTAGTCTGCAGTTTGGTACAGTGTTTAATAGGTCAGCATTTTGCAGGGGCGGGGGAAATAGATATTTTGTCTGATTTTTTGCATATTTGTTCTAGTCTTTTGTGTTTGGGCAAGATTTATAACCATAGTGAGAGAGAAGCGAGGAAACCTCCAACTCCACTTGTTGGCTTATCTATTTCTCTGAGTTCTGTCAGTCCTTGCTTCATGTATCAGAAGGGCTCTTATTAGGATACAACATATTTAGCCTTGTTACATCGTTATGGATGAACACTTCTCACTCATGAAATGTCCTTCTGATCTTGGTCTTACTCTTGTCCTGAAATCTCCTTTGTCTAATCCTTTCCTCTGCTTCACGTGTTCCAGGAACAGCATTGCCATACTTGGGTTTTCCATCCAGTTTTTCCATTTAAAGGGCACTGATTGCAAAATAACCACATTGGGCTTTGCTTTTGAGTCAACTAAACCATCTTTGCCTTTCATGTGCAGGGTGTCATGCTGTTCCATGGAATTAACTTCAGAGGGGCTCAGCTTCAGTTGGCCAGGATGCTATGCCTTTTCTGCCTGGACCTCATCTTCTTTATTCTGTGCCCTTCCTTTCCTTCCTTCTTTAGGATAAGTGGAATATTCTAATTATTATGTATCCCTCTATGCTTTGATGCTGGTGGTGGCTCTAGGACTCACAGTATCCCTCTTGAACCTATCACATTCAACCATGCATAAATATCACCTAACATCACGAATAATATCACAAATGTACACCTGTATACTCCCATGGGTTCCCTACATTATTGATGCTACTGTTTTCTAACTTTTACCTTTCCATATGTTAAAAAATACATTGCTATCATTTTGCTTCAAGAAGTCAATCTGTTAAAGATATTAATAAGTTAAATAAATAAAATCTTATACATTGAACTTGACATTTGTGATTTGCAGTCTTCTTTATTACATGGTATGGATTAAAGGTTTTAGCTGGTATTTTCCTTCTACCTAAATAGCATTCTTTAACACCTTTCTTTCTCTCTTTCTTCCTTCCTTCCTTTCTTTCTTTCTTTCTTTCTTTCTTTCTTTCTTTCTTTCTTTCTTTCTTTCTTTCTTTCTTTCTTTCTTTCTTTCTTTCTTCTTTCTTTCCTTCTTTCACAGAGTCTTGCTCTGCCACCCAGGCTGGAGTGCAGTGGCACAATCTCGGCTCACCGCAGTATCTGCCTCCAGGATTCCAGTGATTCTCCTGCCTCAGCCTCCCAGGTAGCTGGAATTACAGGCATGTGCCACCACGCACAGCTAATTTTTTGTATTTTTAGTAGAGATGGGTTTTACCTGTTGACCAGGCTTGTCTCGAACTCCTGAGACCACCTCGGCCACTGTGCCAGACTTTAACACACTTTTTTTTTTTTTTTTGAGAAGGAGTCTCACTGTTGCTCATGCTGGAGTGCAGTGGTGTGATCTTGGCTCACTGCAGCCTCCACCTTTTGGGTTCATGTGCTTCTCCTGCCTCAACCTCCTGAGTAGCTGGGATCACAGGCATGTGCCACCACACCCAGCTAATTTTTTTGTATTTTTAGTAGAGAGGGGGTTTCTCCCTGTTGGCCAGGCTGGTCTTGAACTCCTGACCTCAGGGGATCTACCTGCCTCAGTCTCCCAAAGTGCTAGGATTACAGGTGTGAGCCACGGTGCCCAGCCCTTAACACCTTTTCTAATGGGAATCTGTCAATCAGACATGCTTTTAGATTTTTGGATTTTTGTGTGTTTCTTTTGGGGCTATGCAGGATATTAATTTGTATAAATACATTTTCAAGGGATTTTTTTACTGGACATAGTGGTCTAGGTTGATCTTCTGTTTCTCTTTTGTCACTTTAAAGATGTCATTCCATGGTTTCTGACTTGCATTGTTGCTGATGAGATGGCATCAGCCTTTTTTTGTCACTGTTCCTCTACATTAAAGGATCTTTCCTTCCTCTGGCTTCTAGAAACGATGTTTTTCTTAGCTTTGAACTGGGACAATTTAACTATGATGTACCTCAGTGGAGCACAGAGTTTTGCTCTTTGGAATTCTGTATCTGAATTGTTGAGATTCGTGACTCTGTGAGTTTCTCGTTTTCTGGATATTTGGAAAGTTGTCAGCTATCTTGGCTTCAAGTATAACTTCTGCCACAATATCTCTTTCCTGTCCTTCTGTGACGTGCTTAACATGTATATGAAATGTTTGGATGTTTTCATAGATGTTGTTGAGGCTCTGTTGAATAGTTGGTTCAGTCTCTGTGTGTGTGTGTGTGTGTGTGTGTGTGTGTGTCTTTCCTGTGGTTTGTCTAGCTTCTACTGAATTATTTTCTAGTTCACTTTTCCTACTGTAATGTCTAAAGTGATGATAAGGCCATCCAGTGAATTCTTCATTAGAGATATGCCTTTTCTCAGTTCTTTAATTTCTACTTGGCTCTTTGATTATTTTTCTTTCTCTTGATATTCTGCAACTGTTTCTCTCATGGTCAGGTTTTCCTTAAATCCCTGAACACAGTTCCCATAGTTACATTTTAAATATTCTTGTCAATGCCATCATTTCTACCACTGCTGTGTCTGTTTGTGTTGAGTGAATTTTCTCCCAGTTATGGGTCACACTAAATACTTCTTGTGTGTCTAGTAAATCTTTCATTGAGGTCACACATTGTAGAAGAAGCCACATAACTGAGCAATTTGATTTTGTTCCTTAACTCTAAGTAGGGTTGGGTTTTCCTCTGGAAGGTAGTTCATTCACTTGGAGATCATTTGGATCCTTTTAGACTTGCCTAGAGAAAGGTTTGCTTGAGTGTTTCTAGAGTTGCCTTTATTCTAGGAATACCAATGATCCTACTCCCAAAATGTGGCTTTCTTTGGTTTCTACTGAATGCCCAAGATGTTCAGGGAGGTGTCTTTCCTCAGAGTGGTCAGAACTCAAACATCCCCCAGCGCTGTGTGAGCTCCGGCGTCTCCGTGGAGCTCACTGTTTCCCTGCAGTTGTTCAAACATCCCCCAGCGCTGTGTGAGCTCTGGCGTCTCCGTGGAGCTCACTGTTTCCCTGCAGTTGTTCTTTCTCCATAGCTTTTCTTTATCCTTTCTTTGCGGAACCTCTCCCTGTGCATACGCAGCTTTGCATTCAGCCAAAGCCTTGAGGAGACTTCTGTGCATATTCCTGGAGTTCCTTTCCTCCACAAACCCCTTCTCATTCTTAGCCAGCCTAGAACACCTCAGCTGCCTGAGGCATCCCAGACTCCAGTCTCTCGCCTCAGTTCAGTGAGACTGCCGTGGTGGGGTTGGCTCCATCTCCTTGCCCTTCAGTCTAACAAGGGTCTCCAGGAAGGAAGCTAGGCTAATGATGGGGTTGGCCTCCTTTGATTCCCTTTCTCCACTCTCTCAGGCCTATTATGTCTGTTGTCCAACCTATGAAAACACTTTTCCCATGTATTTGATCTGGGAAAAGTGTTTTTACAGGTTGGACAACACCTGTCCTTCATGGCAGAAAGGTCGGCGTGGTCAGTTCCGGGTTTCTGTCCATCTTCCTGCAAGTGTAACTCTTCAGAATCTCTCTACTTCTGGACTCTCAGCTGCTTACCTATTTTTGTTCCTCATGCGCTGGCCGCACATAGCTCTTCAGACACCTGTGCTCAGGACCCAGTGTGTTTGCACAGGTTAGAGGAGAAAGTGATTGGAAGATCTAGATGCTGACATAGATATTCTTTGCTCGGGACCCAAGATGAGAATAGCAAACATAACCTTCACTTTAGGGTTTGGAGATTAGAATGGCAGAATTCCCGGGTTGAATGATCACGTTGGTCTTTAGTGGGAACTGTGGAATGGTATTGTTTCTAAGCATGTGGTCATGTGTTCTTCTGAGCTTTCTGTTCATGGGACCTCACCAGCCTCCTGCTTCTGTAAACTATTAGGAAAGAGAGCCAGTCCGAGATTTCTCTTCTCTCAGACCCTGTCCCCAAAGCAAGAAGCCTGAGACATTCTGCCAAACCTTCCAGGACAGAGAGAAATTTGGCCCTAAAATGTTAGCTGGAAGCATGGCTCTTCCAAGAGAAATTTAAGTGGGCTGCTGTTTCTCTTAGGGTAAAACTAAAATTATAACCATTTGGGTAGCCTTCTGTGGTCCTCTGATGCTGGTGTGGTGTCAGAGAGGACCAAGACTGACATGTCGTTCCTGTGACACTGGTGGAGAATGAGCCTCGATAACTCTGTTCATCACCGTGGTAACCGTCCTGGACTCCAGGTTTTGCTCCGTCGGTGCTGAAATTCAGAGAGAAGAAATCAAGCTGAGTGATTTCTAGAACAGAGAAGCATGGGAAGAAATCTGTGACAGAAATAGGAGTCGTCTCTGAGAATGCCAACTGTGCTCTTTTCTATATTAGCAGGCAGAGGGACATGCCAACAAAAAAACCAATCGATTCCTAGTGTTCTAGAACCTTAAGGAGTTCTTAGAGAGATTTTCTTTAAAACCCGGGCACCACAGCTCAGATGAGGTGCCTGTCAGTCGCAGTGGCTCTCATGCACATGCTCTTTTGCATAGACCTCTTCTGGGTGTTCATGAGAACAAGGCAGGAGGCCAGTGTGTCATGCATCCGGCTATGCAAGCCTGCAGGTGGTGACTGGCTGTCTTGAGGGGCAGACAGATAACCTTTGCAAATTGTTCTATATCACTGCTCCTACAAGACCAAATTCCTTCAGCTTCTGCGGGATAGGTCAGAAAATGGTCCTGCCTCTAGGACTGCAGGCAACCATGCTTTGTGTCTCAAGAATGGATAGAGACCCAAATCTTATTCTCTTGGTGGAGAGACGGGGCTTTCGGCATTTTCTAGTGCTTCAGCATTTTGCACTGCAATAAAGCAGAAATCTATTAAACCCACCTCAGATACAAGTTGCATGAGAAGGAGAGGCAAGAACACCGAGAAATCACTCCCTTCAATGCCTAGTTGCACACAGCTTGCCTAAGGCTGAAGGTGTTCCAGGAGCTAGTGCATTTGCCTTCATCCACTGAAAGCTGAGCCGTCAGTAACAAGAAACAGCAGAGTGTCTTTTGCTCCACAGCTTGGGGGCGGCAGGGGCAAGAACCTTGTCAGTGGCAATGGGAGTTGACCTTTCGATTGTCTTTTGGGCTCCACTCCAGAGAAATTTAGAGCTACTGCCAATTGGCACAATCAGCCCAGAGTGCAGTGGCTGTGTTGTGGGCCCAAGCCAGAGGGCCCTGCCTGGGGAGGAGCGGGGCCTCAGGGTGCTTGCAGGGAAGATACACTGGCCTCTTTTCCATAGGGTGGCTGGGGCATGTCGGGACATGAGTAAAGCACTCAGGATCTTTTTTCTTTCCCCACTCCAAAGGTAGCAAGGGCAGTACCCCTGCAGTGGCAGATGGTCTCAGTCGCCTCTGGGAGTGCCACCCCACAGAAACACAGAGCCGCTGCCAGTGGGAAAGTTCAGCTGAGGGTAAGGTGCCTGCACTGTGCACCCAAGCCAGGAGCGTTGCCTGGTAAGAGTAGCAGGTGGGAGCTC